TAATAGTCGGTAATCGCTGATAGAACAATCGCTGATGAACAAGAGTACAATTGTCTACAAATTGTACTGTACTGTTTGCTGCACATCGTGGTTGGTTGGATCAATTCAAATTCAATTGGAATTTGCTGGGAACATTTCAAGAAGGAAGCAACGAAAACTTGGAAACCGTAAATCTTGGTGGATCTGAGAAATCGGACATGGACGCTGTTGGCAATAAACATCTCAAGAACATTCGTAGAGTATCAGACTTGGATAAGCCCCTTAGATTTTTCCGAGGCAAAAGGCACTCTCGATGATGATATACTATATATCAAAGCTGATCCACAGTGGGTACGGTCAATGATAACAAAAGTCGTTTTACTCTATACTAATAAAGTTCCTTGTCAATGAAAGTGTCTTTGTAACAGGCACAGATTGACTACTTGTTCTAAAGTACCTTTTAGGCTCTTGAAAACGTAAGGATGATCCTTGATTGTCAGATNCAGATAGATTTGTGAGTAATGTACCTCCGTGCAGCGAGGTTATCGTTGATTTTACCTATAGAAAAGTATTGTCGCAAAGCACGATATGTGAAACAAGGAATGATTAACTCACCTGCCGAGCGATGGCTTTCGCATCCGCTTGATTGTACACTTTCCGTATTAGAGAAAGAGTGAAGGTAGACAAGGTAGATGCGTACACACCGAACACTAATTTCTCTTCAGCGAACAGCGGATGATAAGCTTCCGACGCACCAACACCCGTGTCCACTAAAAGTTGAACGACAAAATGCACATGAATAAAGAAAGTGATCAGAAACCGCCAGTTCAGAAGTTCACCTTGATTCAATTGTGCTATGTAAGTGATGACTGAAAACAATGGAACTGAGAATGCAGCTCAGTACTCAAAAATTGTCGCGATTCGGAACACCTACGGTGACCAAACGAGGTCGGACGAGAAATCAAATTGAAGGAACCGACACATAGACACACACACACACACAGGAAGATGATGGTGGAAAATCTGTACGAACAGATCCAAAAATACTGATTTCCGGACACAAATGAAGGAGACATTTTTTTTGTACAACAATCGGGGTTACAGGGTTTTCGGACGAGCACTGATAAGCAATGTATTTCATGTTCCAGAACGAGACGAAACGCAAATCAGACAGCGCTCTCCAGTGGATTAACTATACTCAGCAGTGTTCGTTTTCCAATGGGATTAAACTAGCCAGACAGTTAAAATAGCACAAAATAAAAAGCAGTCAGCTGTCGGACATGTCACCTATTCCGGTTGGAGGTTCCATTAGAGCTGAGGGTCCACGGGAGAAAGTGTTTAACCAAATAATGACCAATTAAATGCAACGATATACCAAAATAATTGATAGATGTGAGTTGGATGGATGCATTTTGAGGTCGTTGGATGACAGTTAACGCTCCATAAATTCACCACATTATGCTGTACACAACCGAAATCTGAAAAGTATCCGCAATATCCAACTGGAAATTATGTGGAAAAATGGTGCTTCAGTGCATTAAAAAACTGTTTTACCGACAACAAGTGTTTTCCTTATTCGTATTCAATAAATGTATAGAAAACAGTGATGAGGTTGTAGGTGAAGAGTTGATAGGAGACAGATCCGCTGAATGCGTTAGTAGTGCAATCATCAAAAGGCTGATCGACCGGTAATAATTATGAACACAAAACGCCAATAAAGAGCGAAATCGTATTGACTAAAATAGAAAATACTGCATTTTCCCACACAAATGAAATCGGTTTAATAAACACATAATAAATGTTAGTTGAGGGGATGGTCATAGAAAAAATGGACATCGTCTGCATACTTCAACCAATTTCCTCTCCGTGACTCGATTTTGATAATTTCCACATGAAGCCTTTTTAAGGTCCGCCATCTTCGTTTCACAGTGCAAAGATCGCCAGTGCCATAGCCTGATGTCTCTGTAAGCGATGTCGTGACCGAAAGAATCCCTAATACGAGGATAGTTGAAATTAAAGAAAATTGCTGAAAAACCTGCCTTAATCGTACAAGCGGAATAAATGAAAAAAGGAGACGGATATTCCTGGTCCAGCTCGGTGGGAATAGCAAATAACGAAACGGATAGCACTTACGCGAGACGGGTGGTGGGGACTGAAAGCTCCCTGTATAATTCGGTCCCAATCGAGCTATATATGCGATCCGGTTACTGGATAAAGGTTCTTCGATTAAATGCATCGGGCCTTGACGCCAAACGAGCGAACTAGGACGACGCATTGAAGCTGGCGTGCCGACGAAAGCGCACACCGAAGAGGGCATGGTTTGACGACCGAGAAAACCGGAACTGGCCGCCGAAGTCCCGATATAGTTAAGCTGTTTTTCAACCGGCAGAACACGATAATGGGTCAGAGTTGGAATCGCTGAACGAGGGACTGGATTACTTTTTCACTTTAATACCGTTATGCCAAATATCAGGAAAGGCGAAACCGAGGCAAAATGATTCACTGGAAACCCTCAAAGCTTTAAATAAATGGTAATTCTAGGTGGAACTCCGGATCGTCTCCTTCACCACACTTTTACAAAAACAGATATACAGTTTATCATCCATAGATGCATGTGAAAACATGGTAGAATCAGCTTTACGCAAATTGGCCATCGATCTCTTTGTGTCCGAATTCGAGGACGCACGCGAAACGCGTAGTGAGCGGAGTATAAAGTGTTTTGCATTTCGACGTTACTTTTCACTGATTTTTTTAATTCACAATGCAACAGGTGTACGGTCACCAATTTGTGCACAAAAGGAGCTGCGAACTGCCTGTGACACGGTGGACGATGAAAGGGAGACAGAGATACCGAAACCCGAGGTATGGACGTCAAATTCAGGTCAAACTGTATAAACGGGAATTAACGAAACCGGCGTAGCATCTCGTAGATTTCTGTACGAGAAATAGAGTAACGCTTCCATGGTTTTCAATGAACTTAAACACCGATCCATTCTGAGTGCCCTACGTTCACCTTTCGAATAGAAACAAATGCTTAGGATCAATTTTCCACAGTGAAATGGAAACCAATCAGAATACGAAATCGTTCTGTTATTCTTTTCTTTCGCAGAAGATTTGAATATACGTATTCAAGTCATATCAAGTCAAGTCAGTAGTGGCTTTATGCACCCGGATGGGTGTATTTCCAGCAATTACACCATATTTGTGGATTCAAATTTACAAAATCATTACATAATGGAACTGAAAGCAATGAGGTGTTTGTCAATGATGCAAGCGGTTGCTCAATTCTGTGGAAATTGTGTCCTGGTCTATACGTAGACGGGCTATATATGGCAGAACGGAATCGCGATAAGCACAGGTACGTGCAAATAAAAGTTTAAATCTTGAGCGTGTAGATGATGTAGATACAGCTTTTGAAAATGCATTGTGTAGTGGGTGGTGAGTGTCTGAGAGTATTTTGGCGGCGAAATTTTCACATGCTTGTAGGTGTCTGTCAATGATAGAATCGGCCAGTTTATCTCTGACAATGCCCCTACATTTAGAGATGTGTTTCAGAGATCTCGCCAGTAAATAAAAGCCTTTCTTCAACATACC